TGTCTGTCTGTCTGTCTGTCTGTCTGTCTGTCTGTCTGTCTGTCTGTTCAGATGGTTAGGTTAATAGCTTGTTTAGAGAACCTTTTCATGATATGCTAATTTTTTGGGACTGGCATTTTGGGTTTTCATGAGCTGTATGCCATAATCATCAGTATTAAAACAATTAAAGACCTGAAATATTTCAGTTGGTGTGCAATGAATCTGAAATATATGAAAGTTTCATTTTTATCATTACATTATGGAAAATAATGACCTTTATCACAATATGCTAATTTTTTGAGAAGGACCTGTATATATAAATCCTACTAATGAACTTTTAATGAACATAAGTTCACCATTAAGAGTGAGAGTTCTGCAATGGAGTTAACTCAAAGCAGTCTGCTCCTCAGATAAATAATGTTAAATTATTATTTTTAAATAGGAATGTTTCTGTTCAGTGTCTTGAGACAAATTCTGTTTTGACTTGGCACTATATACATAAACTGAATTGAATTAAATCTCTGATTAACCAAATTCTACAGAAACATCTATATTTAAAATTTTATAGTTTTTCTTCATCATTTGATGTATTTGCACTCACTGTGCCTACATTTATTATTCAATTAGATGCGTGGTTTTGTTTCTTGTTTACATATATTTATTTTATTTTAGTTTTTATTTAAAGTTTAATTCTTGCTTTGTGATTTGTACATCTGTGGGTTAGAATAAAGTTGAACTAAAGGCTGTAGCTCTTTAAACATGTTTGAGGGAAATATTCTTGAGAGATCAAATAATTTTGTGTCTTTTTATAATAGACCTAAAATAGAGCCTTGTGGTACTCCCATGATGCAGGTCCTTGTAGTTGAGACAACTTAATTTATATGCACACACTGAAGGCGACCAGATAGGATTTTATCCAGTTAACAGTATTTGTGAACAGTTTAAATCTTGTCAGCTTAGAAAAAAGAGTGGGATGATTAACTGTATTAAAAGTTTAGCTTAATTATAAGAAACTTGCTCCTACCACTCCACTTTTGTTCAAATCCAGTTTTATTGTTTCAATAAAATGGCAGCATACTGTTTCAGTTGAGTGCTTTGTCCTGAAACCAAACTGTGTGGGATGCAATTGGTCTTCAGACTCGAGATGTTTTATCAATAGTTTTGCAACAAACTTTTGAACAGGGAGTACTGGGTATATAGATTGGCCTGTGACAGATTTCCAGTTTATTACCTTTTTGTGTATTCGATTTATAAGAGCAGCTTTTTAACACTGGGAGGAAAAATAGCATGTTATTGTATTGACTGATTTATTGGAGCAGTTAAATTATTATTAACCTTTTATTTAACAAGGAAAATCCCATTGAGACCATTGCTCTCTTTTGCAAGGGAGGCCTGGGCTGAAGTGAACCCAGGACCTTCTTGCTGTGAGGCAACAGTGCTAACCACTGAGCCATCATGCTGCCGAAGTAGTATTTAGTCCATAAATATTCTTTGCTTTGGAACTTGACAAAGATAAAACATGTATTTAGCGCTACCTCATTTGTAGGCCTAAGGTTGAAACTGCCTTCTGTATTTGTTATGATTTGATAAATATATGTTTGTTTGTTTAGAGTTCTGACTCATGTTACACAGATTTGATATAATAATATCATTGAAATTGTTTGCTAAAATTAATCTGTCATATTAGATATACCATTTATTTGGAACTGGTTAACTTCAGTTTTTGTATGCTCTCTTAAGATTATCAATACTTTTCCCAAAATATTTATCCCTTTTTGCAATTTTATCCATATCTAAGAAAAAATGTTATTTTTCTTGATGAGCTTTGTAATATTCTTTCTAAAGTTTTGAAGATCAACCGTTCAGTATTTAGATCAGATTTTCATTTTTTTTTAAATATTATTTTAATTCAGAAAAATATTGTTCTTTAGAAAGCTGCTTTAAGAGTTTTTGGGTCAACTTGGTGTACTCATCTGATTGTTTGGATTTTAGGTGTCTCATTACATTGTTGGTTTTGAACATGGGCCTATTGCCATCAGACATACCCTAAATGCAAATGTTGCAGGCAGCACTAAACTGTTATCATGTTTGTATTTTAAAATACTTTCAATCTGAAGACAAAATAAAAAAAAACACTCTATAACTGTTTTTTTTCTGAACTAATAGTTTGTAATATGTACAATAAATACTTGTTATATTTAAGTGCCAAAAATAAACATATCGACTACAATTTACTCGTACTAATCACGTTAAGTCTGTTGTTCACCTTGATTTCTTAAGATTAGCATCAACACCCTCCATCAAAAAACTGCCAACCTCTGCTTATGGTATCACAGTAACATCATAATTGTCTTTTTAGCTTCCATCACATAGCCTAAACTTCAATGGCAGACTGTTCATGTATTACTTACACCTCTCTGTTAGGAATCAATGTAGCAAGGTACCTAATGTTTTTACATTCACCAGTCAGTGTGCATGATTTCATGACCGATTGGTGCATGTTTTGGTGGAGTTTTCCCATGACATGGGCTAGACAGTTTTCACAGCATGGCTCTCAGACATTTGATTGTTGTTTTAGTGGAGCATTGGTCCAGACATGTCTGGACATCTGGAATTCCTTAATGCTGTGGCATTAGTGCATTAGGAGGGACGAGTGGGGCAGATACACAGTCCAAGCTGGGAAAAATAAAATAGAAAAAAAAAAAAACTTGAAGAACAAGGAGGAAGTAAATTATTTTATAGGTATCCTCAAAAATACAAGACCACGGTTAGTGTCACTGTTGTCTAAAGTTTGTAGGCTGTTTTTTTTCCCCCATTGCAAATCTTGAAAATTAGTTGCACTAACAGACCTGCATGGGGGCCTTTGGTTTATTCTGTAAAGAGACATATGTTAGAAAACTTCAAGAAGAGGGTACAGAATAGACTGCTACCACTGGGAGACACAGAAATACAGCTCGGCATTATTGATAGCTATGAACACTGGACAAGAAGGTTTCAGTCTAAGCAGAAGTGCTCGCTTGTCAAAGCAAAAGTGAAAATAATGACCTTTATAGCCATAAGATGA